ACTGCATACCCCCTTGTTGCGCCACTGATGACATGTCTACATTATATGTCATAAGTGACATGTTTAAGGAAATATATGCAACATCTCCACTCATGTATCATACTTGGAGTAAAAATGTGCTCTATGTGTTGGTACTCGGTATCGGCCGATCACCATGACAAGGAATTGGTACTCTGTATCGGCTGCAAAAATCCTGAACGGAGAATCCCTAATCCCTTCAAATTCACTGAGTCAACATGTTATTCTCCCTTGCATTTTCCGTCTTTAAACTATGGTATGATGCATGAACACGTTATTATTGCTCATAATCTCTGTTATAACAACAAACTACCATGCACTACATCAGGGGTGGCCAACCCTGTTCCTGGAGAGCCACCTTCCTGCAGATTTCAGTTGCAACCCATATCAAACACACCTGAACCAATTAATTAGGACCTGAACACCACATGATAATTACAGGCAGGTGTGTTTGACATAGGTTGCAACTGAAATCTGCAGGAAGGTGGCTCTTCAGGAACAGGGTTGACCACCCTTGCACTACATGAACACTGGATTTGCTTTGTTTAGATGCTGATGTAGGTTCTCAAAGTAATTAACATCAATGGATCATTGATGCCGCTATTGTATTTGGCCCTTGGAAAAGATGAGGAGTATTCAGTGAAGTCTCATCTGCCTCTGTGGTGGCTCTTAGATGAAACGGCAATAGGACTAGCACCTGGTTTGTGATGCACATCCAAAGATCTGTGTTTGTGAGCCTCATTATTGAAGAGTAATGAATGAACACAAACCTATTAGTTCTTCAGTGTCTTCCTGTTTAATTCTGCAGGGTTCTGGATCACTCATCTTCTCACTGTCCTTCAATAAACTCTGTCTTTGCAGATTTCTCTTCTTCCTGATGGTCTGATGCTCGTCTTCACTTGTAGACTGATGGGAATATTCAAGTATTTACAGCTGAACTGAAGAAGGACGAGCTGCAAATGAAGAAACAAAAAAATCTGCATAATTTATTATGATTGACAAAATAAATCAAGATAGTAGTTAATGTGGCAATTAGTAGATCTGGAGTCAGTAAAAATAGGACTTATTGACATTATATAAAGAGGATTTCAGCAGCTCTGATAATATTGATGAGCCTCAGACTATAAACACTCATTAAACAGCAGCAGATCAGATTATTTATATATTATAGTATATATATTATATATATTTATATAGTATTTGCAGGATAAACTAATTATTATTATAGTTTATCAACTATTCTTGCAAGAAATCTAGTTTAAGTACCTTCTAAGTACCCATAGCAATGCATTAACTTGACTGCTAACACATCTGTAGGGTATAAAACGGACACTTTAAAATCACTCAAAAACTAACAAGCACCACAAACCAGTGATATTTTCAGTGTCAAACATCATACTGCCACACTAAATTCCCTCTAGTCACAGATCACACTCATATTGTCCTCTCAGAGCTGCTCTCCGCCAGCTGTATTGTTTTGGTCAGCAGACACACAGATAGAGGTGAACTCAATGCAGAAACTAGTCGCAGATTGTCGCTTTAATAAACTGTAAAGTGTGTTTTATTGTTGTGTAAACACGACAACGACTCACCTCAGCTCTGAAGACTCGACGCTTTTTCTTACTCTTGGTTTTATGGCGAGTTGAATTTTTTGTAAACATCGCCACCTAGTGTGCTTGTTATGAAACCAGGATCATTTGTTATCGATCCCCCCAGCCATCTCAGTAATATAAAAACAGTAATTACACCGAGTGCAATTCATATTATTTACTAAATAACCAATTAAATTGCATTATCTCAATGCCTATCCCTCATATGAAGGGCCAGACGGAATCTGTGGACGTTTTTTTGCTATTTCTGCAGAGAATTTTGGTAAAAGTCTTTCTGCGGAATTATTTTGGGAGTATCATAACTAATATGAAATAACCTAATGTATGAAATAAAAAAATAATATCTTTTTAAATGTTATTTAATGTTTAAAATGCAAATCCAATTAAATTCACTTTATTTGGTAAACAAAGCAAGTTTGTCATATAATATATATACTAAAAGACTTTACAAACTGCATTGTACATAAATCAGACTAACATTTACACATTAGTCAATAATATTACTGAAATTACAAAAAAAAAAAAAACTGAATAAATATAGATTTACACACATTTACTCAAGTAAATAAACAGAATTAATGATGGGCTAAAAATCTGCACGCAGATTCCGGTTATTTGACTCATTTATTAATTCATTCTTCTTTCAAATTAGTCCCTTATTTGTCAGGGATCACCACAGCGGAATGAACCACCAACTATTCCAGCATGTTTTACGCAGCAGGTGTCCTTCCAGCTGCATCCCAGGCCTAGGAAACACCCATACACTCTCAAATTCACACATACACTCATACACTACGGTCAATTTAGTTCATCCAATTCACTTATAGTGCATGTAGGAGCCATAGATTGTATAAGATGGCATCATTGCATTGAGAAAGAGCATTGGTAGGAAGCAGTTTTAACAATATGTACTAAAGAGTAGCATGCGATACAGATGATTGATTCTTGTTGCTTTGGAAAACAAATGAAGATGCTTTATTTACATCTATTCTGCCTACGGACTGTTACTCATACAAAACTAGCTCATTCTAAAGCCTGGTTTATACTTCTGCGTCAAGTGACCGGCGTAACCCACGGAGCAGGCAACGCGCGTAGCTGTGCATTTACCGTACGTTCACACCGAAAGCGGCGAGAGCGTCAAAGTAGCCGGAAGCCATTCATTTTCAATGAGAGCCGGCGGCGACAAGCGGCGATAAGCAGCGAGAAGCAGCGCGGCGCGTCTTCTCCGGCGTGGGCGTCGGGAAGAGTTGAAATCAAGTCAACTTTATGGTAATGAGCTATGACGCGGTTCCGCGGCAACCAATCGGAATGTAGAAGTCCACCGCTTGAGAGGAGTTCTGAAAACATATGTCTGTGAATATTGGTTCCGACTACAGTTGTTCCTAAAAGCGAAATGGAGGAGAGATTGATTTTAGCGGTCGCCGGATTTCCAATCATTTACGACGTGTCCCTGTTTGCTTACAGGGATACAAGTAAAAAAAACGAAGCATGGACCAAGGTGTCTGAGATTGTGGGTGTTCCTGGTGAGTTACTGATGTGCATTAATGTTAAATATTTTTGAATAAAAAAAGCGGGAATCAACGACAACTACAAAAAAGTACTGCTGCTTCAGAATATATCAGACATGTAAACCTAAATTGGATAAAAATTTAAAATAGGTGTTAAAAGAGCTGCAGCAAAGTTGTCCTATTACAAATTATATATATATATATATATATATATATATATATATATATATATATATATATATATATATATATAATGAGAAAATACTATAAATAAAATACTAATGTGTGTGTGTGAGCTTTAGAAAAAAAAGAAATTAATAGTAAAAAAAAAAACAATAGTAAACTTTATCCGGTTTTAATACAGTCGGTGATGCAGTGGTACATACAGCTACACCCTCTCAGACAGCTAGCAAAGAAGTTATTCAGAGATTATGTGTTTATATTAATTGTGCACTTTGTATTGTCTTTTCACTAGTGGATGAGTGCAGAAAGAGATGGAAGTCTCTTAGAGACACATACAGAAAAGAGAGGAAGAAAGAGGCAGAGAGGAAAAGGAGTGGAGCAGGAGCTAATAGTGTGCGTCCATGGCGGTACAGTAGGGTCATGGGCTTCCTCAACCCCTTCCTAGAAGAAAGAGCGACCAGCAGTAACATGGTGGGGGGGGGTTGGTGAAGCCCAAAACCCAGAGCAGAGGGATGATGCCATGGAAGACAATGAGGCAGCAGTGCAGACTACACCCACACATGCACAAAACATAGAGAGCCAGACCAGTGAGGCAGGACCATCAAGTCCAGCAGAGTCCAGCAGCTCACTCATGACAAGCCAAAGTGTGAGTGTGCAAGAGAAAGGAACTAAGAGAAAGAAAGCAGCACAGAACAGTACAGAATTTGAGGACAGAATAATGTCAACTTTAGAGGCGATATCAAAGAAAACTGTTGCTCCTCAGGAGGACAGTGACACTTTGTTTTTTAAAAGTTTACTCGAAGACTTTAAGTCCTTGTCAGTAAGAAGCAGACAGGACATAAAGTTCAAAATTCATCAGCTAATATATGAAGCTAAATGTATGGAAGCTGATATGGCTGATACCTGGGGAGAAAGAAACGGGGGGCAGCTGACAAGTCTGTGAGGGGTGTTTGTAAGCTTATTTCCCTCGCAGCCCTGTCAGCTGCACCTTGTACTTTCTCCCCAACCATCCCCCCCCACCCCCCACCCCCCCACCCCACACACACACACACACACACACACACACACACACACACACACACACACACACACACACACAGCTTAAAATAGGGTTTAAAATTATTCTTAAAGTATTTGTTCTAAGTGTTCTTTTAGGTTTGTTATATGTTTTAAGGTTACTTGTCAATAAAACAATTGTCTGCATCCGATGGGTAAATGTGTTTTTTATAATCTCAAATGAGCCATGGTTTACCATATTATTATGAAATCATGTAGTGGACCAAGGTGAAAAGCATGTGTATATATATATATATATATATATATATATATATATATATATATATATATATATATATATATGTGTGTGTGTGTGTGCGTGTGTGTGTCCTTAGGATAATCTTAACCCTTGACTTGTTAAAAACCAGTTTGAGTTTTTGTCTTTATTTGGTTACAAAAGAAAATATTTTGATTTTTATACCATAGTTGTTACAATGAAAGTCAATGTATAAAATATATTAGTTTGTCTTCAGCTGAAAAAAAAAATTAAACAAAGAATTAACAAAACGTAAAGCACTTTAAGCACATTATGGAACTTTATTTTTGTTTCAATAGGGAAAAGTGTGTCATGTCACATTTAATAATATTTTAATGTAAAAATGCTCTTTTAAAATGAATTTGTGGCTCTTAAAAGAGCCGTTAAAGCCATTTATTATGGCACAGGTTGCCAGGGGACGGCTCCCTCTGTGGAGAAATATGATGTGAATGTCTCCCGGACACGGATGGCCTCCCGTGTGGCGTTGTTGCTGCCCACTCGGGTGACCTCCTGTAAGCCAGCAGCATCTCCATCAGCAGCTGATGGTAGGGGGATCCTTGTGGAAGTTGTGGACCTCAGGAAGTTGTGCAGGACACAGGTAGCCTTCACACACGCATCCACGTTGGCAGGGCTGATCTCAATGGCTCCTCTGTACATACGCCACTGAGCTGTGAGAATACCAAAAGTATTCTCAACAATCAGCCTTGCACGTGACAGCCTGTAATTAAAAATTCTTTGCCTGCCTGAAAGGTTGTGTCCTGGAAAAGGGCGCATGAGGTCTCGGCGGAGTGGAAAGGCCTCATCAGCAACAAACACATGTGGCTGTGGCCCAAAATGCTCTGCACCTGACAGCAGAGCATCCTGTGGCAGACCAAGGGCCCCATCTCGGAGTGCCTGGCCAAAGATGGAATTGGCTAGTACACCGCCATCACTCATCCTCCCATAACTGCCTACATCCACTACTCGGAAGCGGTACTGTGAATCTACCACAGCCAGGAGCACAACCGAGTAAGTCCCCTTGTAGTTGTAGAATAGGGACCCTGAGTTGTCAGGAGCCTTGATCACAACATGTTTCCCATCGATGGACCCAAGACAGTTAGGGAAGTTCCACCGATGGAGAAAGTCAGTGGAGATGTTTCGCCAGTCCTCAGTGGTGGGGACTGGCATCACCTCTTGTGCCAACGTGTCCCATATTGCTCTGGTGACCGCTGCAACAATCCCTGCCACTGTGCTTACTCCAACACGATAGCTGAAAGCTATGGTGCGGTAGGAGTCTCCTGTGGCCAAGAATCTGCAAAAACAACAGCTATCAATTAAGAACAAAGTAATCTATGATGGTTAGAATTACTTTGCCCTACTTTCATGCAAATTTCAGGTGCTTGCACTTATGTAATATGTTCTTATGTATATTAAACTTTCCATTAAATAGTCAAATGTTGCTGATGTGGCAATAAAGATAATTTAATGTATAATACTATAAAAGGAAAAAGATACGTTTTAAACCTAAATAGTCAAAATTCACTATTAATATTATTAGGCTTGTAAATTTGTTTTATGCTTATGCTTTAAGTAAATGATTCTTAATAATTAGTCCACAACTGGACAGTAAGATATTAATAAAAAGGTAAATAGCCATATAACAATAATAAAAACATTTGAACAAAATTTTAACAATTAAACAAAATAAATGATTAACTCACCGAAGACAAATTGCGAGACGCTCAGCCGGCTCAATAGATTGCCGGTAATTGGTGTCCTGTCTCGCAATTTGCGGTCCCACTTTGGAGAGCAGGCTGTCAAACTGCTCTCTATCCAGCCTGAAGTACCGCTGGAACCTGCCGTCATCCAGCCGCAGTTCCTGCACCAGCCGGTGAAATTCTCCAAGCTGATGACGGGCTTGAAGAATTTCATGCACCCACACCGATCTTCGGCGTCTTCTCCTCCGCAGGTAGAGCAAAGCCACACAACACGCAACAACTTGATCTTCCATAGTGAAATGTATTTGATAAAACTGCGCACGTTATTATTTATATGCAACATTTTGCCGCTAGAAAGCATGTTTTTAGCGGGAATGCAAGCGATTTGCTTATGTTCAGCAACGGCCCCTTTAAAAACAAGATGTTTACATATACAATGTAGCGGATTTTGACGCTCTCGCCGCCGGAGCTGAAGGCAGACAGCGTTGTCGCCAGGGCGGCCAGAGCGACCTTGGACGCTCTCGCCGCTTTCGGTGTGAACGTAGGGTTATACTTCTGCGCGCTGTCTCTGTTGGTCTGCATTAACACTTCCGAAACGCTAGTTGGCAGTGACGTGTAAATGTTCCTCTGTGTCGAGTTTCTTCGCTTCTGTTTTGCGTTTCCTGAGCACTTCCTGGTTGTAGAAGTGACTCAAACTTGCTCATTTTGAGGCAGGAACCGGCGGACGTGCAACAACTTTAACTATGAGATAAACACAAAACAAAACTTTCCATCCGGAGCTCCTTCACGGGACTCCACACTTATAAACAATCGCTCGCGCCATTCGCGCGGCTCTCGGTCCCGCCCCGACTCGTCAGCGCTACCAAGCCGACCAATCACAGAGCTTGCGCTACGCATCATTGCGACGTGTAGTTACATTAGGCTCGTTTGACTTGGCCAAAATCTGCGCAGAATCGATCACCGGTGATCACCGCAAGATGCATGCCGGTTAGAAATGTGTCCGCCTTGCCTTCGCCTCGCTCTGATGTCACGCTGACGTGCGCCAAAAAACTCTCGCGATCGCGAGGCAGGTACATCGGATAGAGCAGTCGGCCGCAGTTGCTCTCAAAAGACTGCGTTACCAAAAGCATGATGGGAAACGACTGGCTGACGACACAGCTTAACGCTGATTGGATGAGACTGACACATTACACTTTATTATCTTGTTTTACTAAGGTTTATTCCTGGATTTGTTGAATACCTTTTTTTTTTGTATTTTCGTTGATAATTTAAAAAAAAGTCATAAAGAGAATAACATATGGTTATTTATTTAGATTTACACACAAACAAAAACAAAACACATCTTTGTAAAACATAACGTGAACTATGTAATATAACTAAATGTTACTAATAAATCATTAGGATTTGTGTGTGTATTTCTCAGTTTTAAGTCCTGTTTGTTGTCATTTTCACTTTTTGTATGTTTGTGTGAATTTTGTATTGTATTTTTTATGCAGCATTATTCCATTAAAGTCAATCCAATATATACATATATTCATACATACAAAGATAATCAGACTGATTTGTCATTATGCCTCATCTTTGTGTGGTTTCATATGAGAAGTGAAAAGGGTGTAGTAAACAAGACACACACACATATTTGTATATATATATGTATGTGAAGTCAAAAGTCATGTTTATTAGACCAAGAATATTTTGATAGTTTTTCCTACAGTCTAATAGTTTTTATTCTGGAGAAAGTCTTGGGCTGTTTATTTTAGTCTGGCTGGAGTAAAAGCAGTTTATATAGACCTAATAAGCTTGTCAATATAATTAACCCCCTAAGAATTTATTTGTCAAACAAACATTTGTCATGACCCGTCACTCAAAAGCATCTTGCTATAGCTCCTTCATTTATAATGTAGCCAAATTAGGTTTCTTGAAAGTTTTCTTGCTGTATAAGCTGTTTATTTTGTTATTCTTTTAACGTTTGTTGAATACACAGAATTATATTTTTAATACACCCTTTTAGTTAATGAGCTGTTCATCTTCTGTAATTCTGTGATATTTCTATTGCATCCACTCCCACATTAAAAATACTATAGTAATGTATACTGTAGTGCTTTTGAACCATGTTATAAAATAGCCTATTTAAATTTTATATTTCTGGTATCACAACAACTATAAACACAACACAATACTGAATAAACATGTTCAAAATGCAATAATATTTACTATAAATCACCATAGTATTTTTTCATGAGGTCATTCGTCTGCGATAAAAAACGCGAACGAGATCTCCGCCACTGGTGACGTTTCCAGGTGGCTTAACAGCGAGATTCGGCAGGTGTCCGACTTCTGATGTAATTTTTGAGCCCTCCTCTTACTGCGCACGCCTGCTCTCGTTTACAATGCAGTCAAGGCGAGGCGCACCTCAAACGAGCCTATTTTTTGAGAGGTGCACGTCAGCGACGCCGACGGCCACGGCGAAAGGCTATGCGTCAGCGCCGTAGCATACGCCGGCGTTTGACGCTGAAGTATAAATCCGCCTTAACAGTGATAGTGCTAACTGGAAAGCCGCTATAGCGCATGTGTTTGGATTGTGGGCCAAACCCACGCCAACACAGGGAGAACATGCAAACTCCACACAGAAACGCAAACTGACCCAACCGGGACTTGAACTAGCAAACTTCTTGCTGTGATGCGACAGTGCTTACCACTGAGCTAGCGTGCCGCCTAAATTCGTTTAATTCGATTAATTAATCTCAACACTATATAATTAGTTCAATCAAATTAATGAATTTGATCGATTTAATGTGTGGAGTCCCGTGAAGGAGCTCCGGATGGAAAGTTTTGTTTTGTGTTTACCTCATAGTTAAAGTTGTTGCACGTCCGCCGGTTCCTGCCTCAAAATGAGCGAGTTTGAGTCACTTGTACATTCAGGAAGTGTTCAGAAAAAACAAAACACCAGCGTAGAAGCTCGACAGAGAAAAATTAACACCTCACTGCCAACTAGCGTTTCTGAAGTGTTAATGCAGACCAACAGAGACAGCGTGCAGAAGTATAAATGCACAGCTACGCGCGTAGCATGCGCCATTGGTTATGCCGGTAACCTGGAGCAGAAGTATAAACCAGGCTTAACTAGCTAGTAGTTACGAAGCCCCTATTGTGGACTTTGTTACAGTTTTAGAAAGAACTTCCGATCAGCTGGTGCAACCCTACCCTGGTGTTTAAGAACATGAGATACAAGTTTTAGGACTCATGAAAGTGTTCGTATTTAATAGACTGTTCAACTTTGAGTATATTAGCATTCGTCACTTTCGTTTAATATTCAGTCATTCAATGAGTGGAGGAGGGGTGAAACAAATACACTGACGAACCTTCAGTACTCGCACGAGAACTAAACAAAGGAGAAGTTGATGTTTCTGCATTCTTATACTCAACAACTGTGATACCTAGGGATGTAACGGTATCAGAATTTCACGGTTCGGTAATACCTCGGTATGAATGTCACGGTACGGTATTTATTGAATCATTTACAGGAAAAAACAAAACTTATGAAAATACTCCAAAAAAGTGCCAAAAGTGTCAATGACATACAAATTAGCCATCTATCTGTAAGCTTTGAAACAGGAACTTCAATTTTAATAACAAAAAAATATTAAACCATGTAAAAAAATAAAGTTTCAATTTAGTATTGTTGAAAACTCATCACATTCAACATTTAATCACTCACTCACTTAGATAGAGATGGGTTTAAAGGAAAATTATCTTATAACTATAATCTGGTAAAAGCTGGTATCTCTGGGCATTTACAATGTCCCCTGCAACAGAAAAACCCTCTCATTTGGGACTGAGGTTTCTGGGACAAGAGAGATATGACTTGGCCCAGGTTGACAGCAGTGGGTAACGTTGTGCATTGTCTTTCCCCCACTTGAGAGGACAAACCATGAGTGAGATAGAGATCTCATGTCTGCATCAATCTGAACAGTGTGCTGTGTTTCTGCAGTCCCCATGACTGATTATTAGTCGTATTCCCCAACTTGCAGGCACGTGCACACACAGGGCTCAACCTGTGCAGTGCACATGCCCTTTTTAGTCTTGGATAGAAAGTTCCCTTCCAAAATGATCAAAAGTGCCCCCGCGACGCGACATACCCTCCGTCCTGCTTTACAGTACGCGCGCGACAACACAGCTGATCAGAACGCGCGCGACAACAAAGCTGATAAGAACCCGCGCGACAACACCGCTATTCAGTACGCGCAAGACAACACCCGCTTTAGGGTTTTCCAGCTCTTTTTCATCCCCGCTTCTAGCAGCACACTCCATTTCCGCATTACTGGATCTGTAGCGACAACAGACCGCAAGGGATTATGGCCAAGCCTGGGCTGATGGGAATTGTAGTTTCCGGTACCTCCCGTTCGCTTCATTCGCCTGAGCAAATTTTCTCAGAAGACCTATAGTTTTACCGAGTCATGCGACTACGGTAATATCGAAAAAAATTAATATTGCGGTATGACGGTATTTACAATACCGTTACATCCCTAGTGATACCTCATGCTTGTGAACACAGGAGAGTTTTCAGGAAGGCGAATTTTGTTTAAGACTTCTTCTTTGATGAACTCGGAGATGCTTCTTCAGATCTGAGGCACTGAAAAATGTTTTGCCGCATTGATCACACTTGTGTGTTCTCTCTCCAGTGTGGATCAGCTTGTGTTGACTGAGGTGTGATGACTGATTGAAACTCCTCCCACACTGAGTACATGTGTAGGGTCTCTCCCCAGTGTGAATCCTTTTGTGTGTTTTCAGCTGTCCTGATATAATGAATCTCTTGCCGCAGTGCGAACACTCGTACGGTTTCTCTCCAGTGTGAATCCTCTCATGGATTTTCAGGGCCGCTAGCAGAGTGAATCTCTTGTTGCAGTGTGAACACACACAAGGTTTCTCCCCAGTGTGGATCATCTGGTGTCGTTTCAGGTCTCCAGATTTAATAAAGCTCTTCCCACACTCGAAGCACGCATGCTCTCTCACACCAGTGTGGATCTTCTCATGTTTTCGTAAGATTTGCTTATGCGTAAACCTCTTTCCACACTCAGAACACGAGTAGAGCTTTTCACTTCTGTGAGCTTCGAGATGCTCCTTCAGCTCTGAAGGCCTCAGAAATGTTTTGCCGCATTGATCACATCTGTGCGGTTTCTCTCCGGTGTGGATCAGCATGTGTCGAGTGAGGGATGATGACTGCGTGAAACTCTTCCCACACTGAGTGCATGTGTACGGTTTCTCTCCAGTGTGAGTCATCTTGTGCTGTCTTAGAAGTGACTGATATGCAAAGCTCTTTTCACACAGAGAGCACGAATGTGGCTTCTTTATATCAGCTCTCACCGTATGCCTCTCGGATTCACTCAGATCCTCACTTTCCTCTTTCACCATCAGCTCTGAAAATTAAGTAAAGGAACAAGTTAGGTTTTAGAAAAAAATGCAAAATAGGGATGAAAATGATTAATCAATGATTTCTTAACTTTGCCGAACTACACTGCGAATCCTTTATTATTTAATAAAGTAATAAAAAATAAAAAAAATATTGTTGTCTCCATATTCCCTGCAATATTTTTAGCGGTCTATAAGTTTCTGGCATTCATTCATTCATACACTGTGAGCGCACAGAGAATAAAGGCTGTTTCTCAATATGAGTTCTTCAGCGGTCTTGCGTCCTCGTGTTCTCGTGCAACGTCATCATCAGCTGCCTAAAGGCTGATTTATACTTCTGCGTCAAATGCCGGCGTATGCTATGGCGCTGACACAAAGCCCTTCACCGTGGCCGTTGGCGTCACTGACGTACACCTCTCAAAAATTGTAACTACACGTCGCAACAACGCGTAGCGCAAGCTCTGTGATTGGTCGGCTTGGTAGCGCTGACGAGTCTGGGCGGGACCGAGAGCCGCGCGAATGGCGCAAGCGATTGTTTACAAGTGTGGAGTCCCGTGAAGGAGCTCCGGATGGAAAGTTTTGTTTTGTGTTTACCTCATAGTTAAAGTTGTTGCACGTCCGCCGGTTCCTGCCTCAAAATGAGCGAGTTTAAGCCACTTGTACAAACAGGAAGTGTTCAGGAAAAGCAAAACAGAAGCGAAGAAACTCGACACAGAGGAACATTTACACCTCACTGCCCACTAGCGTTTCGGAAGTGTTAATGCAGACCAACAGAGACAGCGCGCAGAAGTATAAATGCACAGCTGTGCGCGTTGCCTGCGCAGTGAGTTACGCCGGTCACTTGACGCAGAAGTATAAACCAGGCAAGTACGGAGGACGCATGAAACCTCCCGGATGTGATCTTGATATCGAGGACGCACCGCTGCAGACTTGAGCACCGAACTCGCTCTGGAAGTCCCAGAAGTCATTGCGACTGGAGGTGGGAAGCGCTGCATTTTATCTAGATTTATTATTAAAGTTCAGAGACATCACTTATTTACCTCAGGACTTTCCCTAAATGAAACGGTGAAAGTAAACATTAACATGAATATCTTAATAGAGGAATAAACACATTAAGGGTTGTTTGTTTGCTGAAATTCGTATTAAAATTTGTTTTATTTATATTGTGCAGAGTATATTTATAATGTTTTTATGCAAAGTATATATTTTGAAGAAGCGGGAAACAATAAATCGTTGTATGATTGCTGTAATGTTTAAATAATTTCCATTTAAAACGCGTGAAGGTCACATGACCATCAGGAAGAACGCAGCATCCCATTTCTCAAAGGACGCGTTCTCTGCCCTCGCGGTCTCCTGAGTTCGTTCTTCCGAGGACACCTGGCAAGACCGCTCTCCACAAGAACGCAAGTCCGTTCTCTGCGTTCTTGGAATTGAGAAACAGCCAAAGGCTCCTGTTTTTGCACTCCTTTATTTCGGACAGTGCAAGAACAGCTTCTCTCCCATGGTGCACGTCAGTACTGAAAATACTGTGCGACTGCCACAAGGGGGCGTATTCCGACAGTCATGTCCAAATGTCGTGTGCAGTGGAAAGGCGGCTTTACTGTCGGAGGTGTGTGCATTGTGGGGGCAGGATAAACAACAGAGACACATGATTCTTAAATGAAATGAGTGAGACAACCCTCAGAAAATAAGTTGTTGTGCTTTTGGAAGTCAGAACAGGAATAGACTTAATTTTTTTATATCGTGAGATGTGCAGTAAACCACTAAGTGAATCATCTTGCTTTTTCATTTCTTAGTCCCACACCTGCCTGCACACACAAACAATCGTGTTTAAGTTAACAACCATATTAACAGGCTTTAAAGATTAACTTACATAAGATAAAGTGGGATAACGCAAAAACAAAGCACAACATGTGACCATTTTTTTGATGTTGCAGTATAAAACATTTATACGTTAAAAAAAACACAACTAGTGGCACCTCAGTGCTTAGATGTACTATATGATACACACACCAAACTATAATCAAACAAGCAGTTTAACTGTTAACATGCTGTTTAAGTAAAGCCAAAGCACTATAGGAACTTCCATTAAAATACTAAATAAACAGAAAATCTAGATCATATAGCTAGGCATAATTGTAAAATAATAAAGGAAAATACATTAAGGAAATTGAGGTTGCAACGCATTTTTCAACTAAAATTAGTTCCTCATTATTGAAGAGTAATGAATAAACACAAACCTATTAGTTCTTCAGTGTCTTCCTGTTTAATTCTGCAGGGTTCTGGATCACTCATCTTCTCACTGTCCTTCAATAAACTCTGTCTTTGCAGATTTCTCTTCTTCCTGATGGTCTGATGCTCGTCCTCACTTGTAGACTGATGGGAATACTCCAGTATTTACAGCTGAACTGAACGAGCAGCTTGAAAAAAGTAAACAGAAAAAACGTCCATAATTTAAACTGATTGATGAAATGATGATTTTATGATTATATATAAGTTATATAGACTGATTGAATCTAACACAATTGATGCGTAGATAGGAAGACATTCATATGATGAATGAGGTGAAATCTTGAACTACTGGCATGAAATAGTGGATATTAACACCCCAAATCTACCATTTATTGTTTTCGGTGTCAAATTTTACATTTGTTTTGGCATTAACAAAATGTATTTGGTATTATTACACCAAGTTAAAACACAAACACTGAGCTCATATTGTCCTCTCAGAGCTGCTCTCTGCCTGCTGTATTGTTTTGGTCAGCAGACACACAGATAGAGGTGAACTCAATGCAGAAACTAGTCGCAGATTGTCGCTTTAATAAACTGTAAAGTGTGTTTTATTGTTGTGTAAACACGAGAAAAAGCGTCAACGACTCACCTCAGCTCTGAAGACTCGACGCTCAATGAACGCGTCAGTGCTGACGTCATCACGGCGAGGCGGGCGCAACGGAAGACCGTCAACAACTGTCACAAAGTTATGTGCATTTATTTAAGACTTTTCTTTACTTTAATGAGAGGGAGACAATTATGCCTAAACTTTTTTTTGGATGGAGTGTCTTTTTTTGATTAAAAATGTGACAACAGAAATGTCAGACGATTGTTACATTACTCTGTATATACCACCCCAAGATGTAATTTTTTGGACCAACTTCTCTGACTGCATTCAATGGAAGAGAGCATGGTTATTACCTGAAAAATTCCGCATATCCAACAAAATAACAGAAATACATTTTAAGATCTTGCATAATGTTTATCCTACAAATCCCCAAATTGCTAATTATTTTGATATACCTAATTTGTGTACTTTCTGCAATATACATGAAGATACTTTATTTCACTTATTCTATAGTTGCACTCACATTAAACATCTTTGGAATGACATTATTTTTTATTTATCATGCATTTTTAAACATGATTTAAATTTGTCAATAAAAGATATATTTCTGTTTTTCTCGGATGATGATCATGCTCTCGATCTTATTGTAAATTATTTGTGTTACACTGTAAATTTTTTGTATACAAAAATAAGTTTCTAAAAACAATACCTATTTTTAATACTTTCCTTGTTGAAATTTCGTACCATATTGAATCTCTTAAGCTTATTAATAATAATAAGAATAATGAGTTTCTTTAAGCTTATGACAATCTTTTTTCTTAATGATTGAGGCTGTGTATTTTTTTTTCTCTCTGTCTTCTTATTTTTTGTTATTGTATGTTTTCTTCAATGCAGTGATGTTATTATTCTTGTATTCAATAAAAAAAAAAGAGAAGACTGTCAACAGCACGGCAAACAATTGGCAAGCCAATATTAATCATGTTTGAGGTGAAAACCAGTTTATTAGCCAATTTAAAAGTTGTAAAAAGTTAAAAAGCAAACATAATCCTTCATGGCTGACCAATATAATCAGAAAATGATCTTTTCCTGAGGTAACAACTGCCACTTGTAAACAATTAACAAAATATCAACAGACAATTAACATTTAAGAAAATTGTATTGTATTATGTAGTTTTATCCAGTTTTAGAAATAGCGCCAACATAATCAATTTTCTTAAATTTTATTTATATAAAATACTGGGTCAAACCAATGAATAATCCACTGCGTTGCTTGACATGATTACTGTAATAGGGCTATATGCACAGCTAGTGTTTTTCAGCCAATGATGAACATCCGGTTAGAGCTTTACATGACTATTTTCAATTTCATACTGTTCCTTCTACAGCAACGATGTTGTAAGGTAATTACAATACATTCAGTTAAATAGACTTAAGCATTCATTTGGTTGTTAAAGTGTAAAAAGAGACGATTGACCGTTTAAACGGAGGCTCCGTCATTAGCAGCATGCAAGCGCAGAAATTCAATTGAAAATAGGTAAAAAGGTAAAATTAATTTCCTCATTTTAAAGACATGACGCAGAAAAATATAATTTAATACAGTGGTTTTTGTTTGGTCTGATACCCACTTTATATTGTATCTCAGCCAGGCAGTTGAAGATTAGTGTTTTTTTTTTTTAAATCAGATCTTGAACGTGGCGATTTTGTATGGGATGACAATTAACCGGAAGCCATGGGGCTGACTGAATTTATAAGTCTGTGTGCATATACACCATTAAACTTCCCATTGGCTACTGTTAATAACAGGCTATGTTTAGTAATATAATGCCAATCTTTTAATGCAAACTACCATATAAAAGGTTTACAAATTAATGAAACGTACGAATGCACAGGAAAGTCGTTAAATAATTATGTTTTGTTGTTTTTTCTGTAATTTTTTGTTTATTTTTACACATATAGTAGCTCTTACCTCATGCCAGTGACAGCTGATTGTTCCCCTTCAGATTAAGGGTCCATCTGCATGACACTTTCAGCCAAAAACAGTAAACTTTTTATGCATTTTGCTTCTTCGTTTACACAATAATGGTGGATTTGTGACTGGAAAGACATAAATCTGAAAACAGGTTTCAAAGTTGAGGTTTTTGAAAACACTGCAGCTGTCATGACTTTGTAAACACCCAAAAATGTAAGTCTTTAAAAACAATAACGTCATATGCTCCCGTTCCCCCCTGAACATGCAATTTTAGGATGGGTCAAGCGATTTAACTATTTGAATACCTGAAATCTGAGGTTTTCCAAAAAATAAAAAAATTTTAATACATCGAAAAAATAAGGAAAATTTGTTTTTAAAGTCGGAATTAGGGGGCGCTACTGAGCAAGGAATGGATCAGGGTGCAAGTTGGATGAGCTCAGCACAAAACTTCAAATAATTCATTAATTTAAGGCACCTTTCTTGAAAAGATGATCTGCTACTTATCCAAAACTTTACTACTCCATTTTCTCCAAAGTGTCAGTCATACAGGATTGCTTAGTTTGAACGGAATGAATTTGCCCCGCTATCTCTAGTTGTAGAGCATCCATTTTGATTTACGAATGGAATGTTTCGACAATCTGATTTCAGCTTTCAATCTGAAAGCTTGACATCTCCGTTTTAATAGTCACTGCCATCTGGTCGGATGAGGATATCAGTTCAGTCTTAAGACTGATTTATACTTCTGCGTCAAGCGCACGCATATGCTACGACGCGGCCTATGCGTGGACGCACAGCCCTCGCCGTGGCCATGGCCGTCGTTGTCGCTAACCCACACCTTTTAAAAAATGTAACTACACGTCACAACGACGCGTAATGCAAGCTCTGTGATTGGTTGGCTTGGAATCGCTGATGATTGTGGGCGGGACCGAGAGCCGCACGAGTCTGTTGGAGCGACTGTTTACAAGTGTGGAGTCTCGTAAATGAGCTCCGTGTTACGGCTGTTGCCTTTCTCTCTAGTGCCTGTCTCTGTGCTTGCGTGTGTGTCATGACGTCACTCACTGTTTGTTTCCTATAGAGTCCGCCTTTGCGCACCTGCGGCGAGTTGCGCTTATTGAAATTGGCTATAAATATGGACCATCCTTGAGTGGAGACAGAGGAGACTTCACAGCCAGCCATCAAGCTTCTATTCGTTTCTTTAATTTACTGTTTTGTTTTCTTTAAGTCTTACTTTGCTCTAATTTGTTAATTCGTTGGGTTGTTTAGTCTTTGGTTAGTGTTGTATGTTGTGGGAGAACGTGAGTTATTGATTCTTTATTCATTCTTATTTAGTTGTGACACATGATTTGTTTGATTGTTTTGGTTGTAATAAATTTATTAATTTAGACAACTTTTTTAGACAAAGTTCATGTGTACTCTTTATGTTGCGTTCCCTTCATGACTTAATTATTTTGATTTGATTAAAAAAGGGTTCGTAACACTCCGGATGGAAAGTTTTGTTTTGTGTTTACCTCAGGGTTAAAGTTGTTGCACGTCCGCCGGTTCCTGCCTCAAAATGAGCGAGTTTGAACCACTTGTACATTCAGGAAGTGTTCAGGAAAAGCAAAACAGCAGCGAAGAAACTCGACACAGAGGAACATTTACACCTCACTGCCAACTAGCGTTACGGAAGTGTTAATGCAGACCAACAGAGACAGCGCGCAGAAGTATAAATGCACAGCTACGCGTTGCATGTGCCGTGGGTTGCGCCGGTCACTTGACGCAGAAGTATAAACCAGGCTTTAACCAGAAGTGTCCCCTAACGAAGATTGCTCTGCGCAACTGTTGCTTGTAGCGTTAGCAGCAGCCTCCATGCTAGCTTGCTTTAGGTTAGGACTAAAGTCGTCTCTTTTCAAAGTATACTCGCGAGTAACTGGTGCTTATAATGGTAAAGATAGTGAGAGCGTGAACAAAACACGACTACCTCCTCGTCTTGCCGCCGGAAGTCCCCAAGACATTACTACTTAACGTTAGACGGCTTGTTTCTTTATAAACCCAAATGGCGAACAAACTACTCAATTATAAGCGCACAGGGAAAACCAACGCAAGCCAAGTCGATGCTAACACACAAATTATATGTCTGATGATCTAATAATCCAAATAGTCTGCAAATATTCGAGAGATGCAGCGAAATTACAGCTGGCCTCTTTGTGTTCGTTCTTGACTTGAATTGTTTATTAGTGATGTCACTTCACACACACGACACACTCAGGTTCACTGCTGAATAACTAATCAGATTGGTCCCTTCAGCCAATTCTACATGCTGAATCTGGCCAATAAGCACTGATGTTAAGAGGTGACGAGGAAAACACCAAACCAACTTGGTGTGTCCCTACCCGAAGATGTTTATACAGATCTTAAAATGTTTTGCGGCATTGATCACATTGATGTGTTTTCTATCCAGCGTGAGTCCTCTCGTGTATCTTCAGACATTCTGACCAAACAAATCTCCTGTCGCAGTGTGAACACGCGTAAGGTTTCTCTCCAGTGTGAATCCTCTGGTGTCGCTTCAAATATCCGGCTTGAAAAAAAGTCTTCCCACACTCAAAGCACACATGCTCCTTCACACCAGTGTGGATCTTCTCGTGTAGACTTAAACTCGACTGCCGCGTAAAAGTCTTTCCACATAGAGCACACGAATAAGGCTTCTCCTTTGTATGAACGCTCTGATGGTTTTTCAGATGTGAATGCCTAAAAAATGTTCTGCCGCATTGATCACATTTGTGCGGCTTCTCTCCGGAGTGGATCAGCATGTGTTGAATAAGGTTTGATAATTGTCCAAAACTCCTCCCACACTGAATACACGCGTGAGGTTTCTCTCCGGTGTGGATCATCTGATGCTGACTTAAACTCGACTGATGTTTAAAACTCTTTCCACAGACAGAACATGAATAGGGTTCCTCCTTCATACGAACGCTGAAGTTGACCTTCTTGGCTTCACTCAAATCTTCACTCTCCTCCTCCTTTGTTATCAGGTCTGAAAATTAAAGAAAGAAGTTACCTTTGAGGAGAAATGTGAAATGGGGATGCAAGCTATTTTCCTACTTAACATGCTCGAATTAAAAGTCTGCAACTTTTCAGTAACTTCCACTGTGGAACTTTCCATAAAGTCGTGATGATCCAAACATTGATCAAATTTGTTATCTTCCAGGGCATCCTTCCTTTGCAAAGACGGTCTCTGGACATTCTGTATCATCTTCCAAATGATATGTGAAAAATGTATTTACTTGGATTGCAAAAATATAGCTGTCATTAGCGTTAAATTGAGCAAATGTACTACCTCGGAATTTGCAGAGTTACCTCTGTGCACGTGATGAAGTCAATAGCCAATCAGAGGCGCTATAACTGGACGTTTTGTTAATGCAAGAGAGGTTTGTTTAAAGGAGCTTCAGTGTCAATGCTTCCCATTCACTTTGAATGGGTGATGTCAAGTGTTGCTGAAATGAACAGTGGATCCGTTGACACTGAAGAGGTTGGGAGTTTCTCAACGTTTTGGACACAACCAACGGAAGAGTCGGCCAATAGCATCGCTTTATGCAAATAGCCCAACTCAGACACTAGCCGATTGCGGACTAATTTCATTGACTGACTCTGCTACAACAATCACATCAGCATTGTGGATTTGTTGGTGCTGCTTCAGAGGCGTTGCTCGCAGCAGAAGTTGGGACTTTCTCAACTATTCAAGTGCCGGCGGAAGCATCAGCCAATCGGATCGCTGTATGCAAATACACCAGCTCAGACAGAAGCCGATTGCTACCTAATTTTATTGACTGACCCTGCTACAACAATCACGTCAGCTCTAACTTCAGACACACCCTCCATCAAGCTTTGACGCTGAAGCCCCTACGCCCGATTCACATGGGGCTTCAGTGTCAACGCTTGACAGAGGGCGTGTCTCAAGTTGGGGCTGATGCGAGCATCATAGCAGTGTCAGCCAATGAAATTAGTCAGCAATCGTCAACTGTCTGAGCTGGTGTATTTGCATACAGCGATCTGATTGGCTGATGCTTCCGTTGGCGCTTGAAAAGTTGAGAAAGTCCCAACTTCTGCAGCAACCACCGCCTCTGAAGCAGCACCAATGGATCCACAATGTAGTTCGGCAACGCCTGATGTCACCCATTCAAAGTGAATGGCAAGCATTGACGCTGATGCCACAAGTGAATGGGGCGCTAGTGTATCGGGTGTAACCGCTGCATTGACTGAAGAATAGATGGTCCTGAAAGGTGAATTCCTAAGCTTTACATAGATCAGGGGTGCTCAAACTCGGTCCTGGAGGGCCGATGTCCTGCTAAGTTTAGCTCCAACTTGCTTCAACACACGTGCCAGGAAGTTTCTAGTATCTAGTAAGAGCTTGATTAGCTGGTTCAGGTGTGTTTGATTAGGGTTGAAGCTAAACTCTCCAGGACACTGGCCCTCCAGGACCGAGTTTGGACACTCCTGACATAGATACTGAACATGCATGGGTAATTCCCAAAAAGTGCACACGAGAGAGTGAAGATGTTGGCTTGTTTCAGGACATTTTTGTTGGCAGTTTTGCTGCATCCACACACAAAAAATGTCATTTTAAAAGTGCTTACAGTAGGAAAATTACTGAATATCTTCATGGAAGATGATATTTGCTTACTATACTAATGATTTTTAGCATAAAGGAAAACCTAATATTTTTAATATTTAATAATTTTGGCCCTTACATATTATTTTTGGCTTTTACGTGAATATGCCGATGGCAAATCGACGTTTATATGATCTCTCAAGAGAAACCATCATCACTCCTGGTAGAGCTGCACAATTAATCGTTAAAAGATCGCAATCTCGATTCGACCCCTAGACGATCTTAATCCAACATTTCTACGATTCTGTCAATCATATTTTCAAGTTCAGGAGAGAAGAAAAGGCGGCTGCACAAGTCTTTTCATTGTTTCACATACGTTGCTCAGTGACATTGACACCTCCAAATGATGTTGAATGAGTCACATACTGTATTTATAAGGTATAATTCACCTAAAATGTCATTTTTGTCTTAATATAATGATGTTTTCTCGGCCGGGAAATCACACGTGACTTGAGATGCTAACCGTGAGCTGTTATCACAGAGAAGGCACGCGCGCGAGTCTATATTTAAGTAGAGTCTACTTTAGTGAACTGAACCTGCATATGTTGAGAGTAACAGGTTATACAGTTGTAAATAATATTCTGTTTGTGGCGCAGAGTGATCGTTTGGGAGCCGCCAGAAGTATGAACAAGAACTTAGCAGTCAAAATGAAACCGAAAGTGTGCACTTCATTTAAATGATCATATCGCATTTTAGAGTTATGATTACGGCAAGCATTTTATTTGTTTTTTCTGTCATAGCGAACACACAGTTGTGCATGAAAATAAATGTTTACAATGTCAGTATAACTACTCCAGCCTATATATTGTTGAATATAATCTGATAACGGCAAATGTGTGATGTTAACAGTGAATAAAATTGTCTAATATGACAGATTGCAAGCATATATCTTAAACATAATAATTCAACATCAGAATTATTATAAGTAGAATAGAATCATTTATAGAAATCAGTAGACCTACACATATTATTATCGATGTGCCATATGTTTGTTTTCACCATACCTTTATTTTACATCTACAGAATCGTGATCTTTATTTTAAGCAAAAAATAAAAATAAAAAAATCGCGATTCTCATTTTAGCCAGAATCGTGCAGCTCTAACTCCCGGTATGATTATGGTGCACCAACCTGATTTGACCAAGTAGGACATGTAGCTGGTTTAACATCTATGTTGATCCTGGAACAACATTCCAATCAGCCAATCAGGATTACGTATTAGGAAACGTATTAGGGATACGTTTACAGATTATGTTAGGTTTAGGCTTACAGAATAGGTATATGCACTTCTACGTGATTGTTATCCAACAGTTATTCCCCTCTGAATTTGGGAATCAATATAAATGTTAATTTAGGATTGCATTGTGCTTGGCTCAATCATGATGTCCGGTTATGGTGGGCGTGACCCTTGGCTACTGCTACTTTTGTTTAATAATTATGTCACACAAATAGGACAGTCATGCATTTGCTCTTGAATGTAGAATAAATATATGTTTCTATATTTATATTGCATTCACATTGCATGCTTTACAAATATCTAAATGCAACATTTCAAATCGCCTTTTTTACATTTTCTTTTCGCCAATTTCAATTATTCGTTCAACAGCAACATTATGGTATTAAAGGGTGGAGCTAGACTCACTGATGAATGCTGATTGGCTTACAGGGAATCGCCACTTGCATGTGCAATATGATAAGGAAATGATAACAAGCTCTATTTTTTAATTCACAGTCAAAACACGATGAAGTAATAACAAAATGACAATTCACTGCTGAACAGGCTGGATGTTTAGATGATCTACTTACTGTGATTGTGTTTTGTGTGTGTTCGCAGAGAAGACGATTGTGTAAAACTCTTCCCACAAGCAGTGCAGTGATACGGTTTCTCCCCAGTGTGAGTCCTCGCGTGTGTTTTCAGGTTTCCTGAATCATTGAATCTCTTGTCGCAGTGTGAACACTGGTAAGGTTTCTCTCCGGTGTGGATCATCACATGACGCTTGAGAAGGTGTTTGTTCTTGAAACTCTTTCCGCACTGAGTGCAGGTGAAACCTTTACCAGCTGTTCTTTCAATTGAAATCCTATGTTCAGTCTCTGATTGAGTTTCTTCCTCACTCTTGACATGATGTTTCTCCTCATCTCCGCTCAGGTCTTCACTCTCCTCCTTTACCATCACACCTGAAAAGTAGGTAAACAAGTGAGAGGAGTCTGGATGTGGTGTAGTGCAATCTGGGCTGCATCCAATGCTTTTTAATGGGCTCACCTATGCCCACCTCTAACCCTACCCGTCACAGTGATGTCACCAACTCCATTGAGTGCATTGTGTCTGACATCGCATCGCTGAGTGATGCAATCTCAGCTTGCATCATAAAGGCTGCATCCAGATACTGTTGAAACAAGTTCATTTTAAGAGGCTAGTTTAAAACAGCTTGCTAACTGCAGATGGCGCTCTCGCATGGCTCTACAGTGTGAGCATTTCTGACTAAAAATATGTGCAAACTGTAAAATGTATTTTGGGAGCACGTGTGAATATAAAAATGTATCTACAATCTACAAAAAAGGCTGTAATACTGTCTCTAAATTGTAATACAAATAAATAAATAATAATAAACCCCCCCTGCTGCAGTTCCTAAGTGGTTTCACATCATTCACAGTTGAGTAATCTATAGCGTAGGAAACGAGTCGATGAGGTTGCACACAGGAAACAAAGCACACATATTTAGAAGCCTACATGCTGATCACCGGCTCAGGATGCTGCTGATTCTTGTGCAAAACATTTGTCTCTCTGTGGCTTGAATGAAGAATCGAGGGTTTCACATGAAAGCTAGGCTATAATCATACAGAAGATGCTTTCACTTTCTATTTGCTCTGTGTTTTCAAGCAAAATGCATTTTTTTACATTCATGGAGTGGACATTTGATTGATTCTTCTTTATTTTTTTTTATTTTTTTTAGGGGTTTTCACCTTTATTGACTGGACATTGAAGATTTGCAGACAGAAAAGTATGAGGAGCAGAGAGAGAGAAAGGAAAGGCAATAGATATCGAGCCAGGAATCAAACTCGGGTCACCGTGAGTGTAACATGTAAGTGCTGTGCAGGTAAACCTCACTCCTATGACCTCTAAAGGTGCTCTAGTGACAGATGCTACTGCAACCTTGTTATCCTTGTTAGAGCAACCTACTCCCATGCGGAAGGTCGCCGGTTCGATACCAGCTCGGAGCGGGTTGGGTGGCGTAGGACCAGGGCCGGTGCGTCCATAGAGGCGACCTAGGCAGCCGCTTAGGGCAGCAGTATAGAGAGGGCGGCGTCCGCAACACCCCCCTTACCACCCGCTTCCTCAGTTATGTCCGCGACACCTTCCTCACCACCCGCATCCTCACATATATTTGCGCATATAGGGACAGAATAGAGAGGGCAGCGTCAGTGAGCGACACCTCCATCAGCACCCGCGTGTCCTCAGTTATATCCGAGCATAGGGCGGCAGAATAGAGGTCCGCGACACCCGCGCGTCCTCAGTTATTTCCGCGCATAGGGCGGCAGAATAGAGAGAGCAGCGTCGGCGACACCTCCCTCCCTCAGCACCCGCGCGTCCTCAGTTATATCCGCGCATAGGGCGGCAGAATAGAGGTCCGCGACACCTCACTCATTTTCATAACCGGTCACTTTCGTTTTCACATTGGGGTTGAGGGTGGCGTGATCGTCCTCTGCCTAGAGCGGCAGTTCAGCCTGCTCCGGCCCTGCGTAGGACCGGCCGACTTACATTGGTGTCGTGACCTGGATGGGAGTGAGGTTTAGGGGAGTGAGTGTAGCGGAGACTGGTGGGGTTACATAAGCACCTGGGTGCTATATGTTGACGCACTAATCACTAGACTATTGGCGCTGACAACATTTGAGTGATTCTGATTAGATTGTTTGGAATTTGACAAGCTTTATTGTCATTCAAACATACTGGTGTACACCGAACTAAATTTTGTCGTATTGGCTCTGGAGTTTCAGAAAAGATTAACACTAAATATGCATTCATTCAATTTCCTTTAGCTTAGTCTCTTTATTTATCAGGGGTCATCACAGTGGAATGAACCACTAACTATTCCAACATGTTATATGCATCGGATGTCTTCCAGTACTGGGAAACCCCCATACACACTCATATTCACACACAGAAGTCATACAATAGGGCCAATTTCATTCATTCTTCCTTCCTTCCTTCGGCTTGGTCCCTTTATTCATCAGGGGTCACTACAGCGGAATGACCTGCCAGCCTATGTTTTACACAGCGGATGCCCTTCCAGCTGCAACCCAATACTGGGAAACACCCATACACACTTATTTACACACATTCACTACTGCCAAGTTAGTTGATCCAATTCCCCTATAGCGCATGTGTTCGGACTGTGGGGGAAACCGGAGCACCCGGAGGAAACCCACGCCAACACGGGGAGAACATGCAAACTCCACACAGAAATGCCAACTGACTCATAACCAGCGACCTTCTTGGTGTGAGGTGACAGTGCTAACCACTGAGCTGCCCTAAAACACTTAACAATAAGTAAATAAATAACTAACAATAATCATGTATACAGCAGCTGACTGATGGTCCTTATTGAGAGGTAGTGCAGATCATATCTAGTGCATACAAGTATTGAAAAGGCGGTAAGCAAAATAATCTAGCTTTTGCTTTGAAACGAGATTATTTTGCTTGATTTAAGGAAAAAATTATTTGGACAAAATATATTTCTAAAAACGAGAATGTTTTTACTTTTCTAGATATTTGGACTATAAACAAGACAAAAACTAAGAAAGAAAAGCATTTTCTTGCAGTTCACCTGCATGTGGAAATGATTTTCAAAATTAAAACTAGTATTCAAATTTGTTTGATCCTGCTTATAAAATACAAAAATATTAATCTAAGCCAGGGGTGTCCAAACACAGAATCTAAATATTATGGCTAGATATAATTTAAAAATAATGAAAGAATATACTTAAAGAAAATTTAGTATGCAGTGCATTTCTAAACAAAAATAATAATTAACAAAGGTAAATAAAAGGTAATATAATAAAGAACTGAACTGATGAGGTGCTCACTGCTGTTCAGCCTCATTATTGAAGAGTAATGAATAAACACAAACCTATTAGTTCTTCAGTGTCTTCCTGTTTAATTCTGCAGGGTTCTGGATCACTCATCTTCTCACTGTCCTTCAATAAACTCTGTCTTTGCAGATTTCTCTTCTTCCTGATGGTCTGATGCTCGTCTTCAGTTGTAGACTGATGGGGATATTCCAGTATTTACAGCTGAACTGAAGGAGGAAAAAACTGGACACAAAAAATCTGCAGAAGTCATTGACAAATTAAATCATTATCGTAGTTAATGTGGCAATTAACAGATCTGATGACATCAGTTTAATGAATGAAGTAAAAAAAACAGGAAATACTGACATGACATAGAGAATTTCAGGCGCTTTGATAATATTGTCGAGCCTCAGACTATATACTACCATTCAGGATCAGTTCAGCTCATTTTATACAAGTGTTTACACGATAAACTAATTACTCTAGTTTATCAAACAATAATAGTAACGTTAACCGTTATAGTTTTGTCCTCTCAGATCTCCTCTCTGCCTGCTGTATTGTTTTGGTCAGCAGACACACAGATAGAGGTGAACTCAATGCAGAAACTAGTCGCAGATTGTCGCTTTAATAAACTGTAAAGTGTGTTTTATCGTTGTGTAAACACGAGATAAAGCGACAACGACTCACCTCAGCTCTGAAGACTCGACGCTGAATGAACGCGTCTGTTGTGACGTCATCACGGCGAGGCGGGCGCAACGGCGGATCAATAAAAACGCGCCAATTATTTATTTATTTTTAACAATACCAATTACAAACTCAAATGGAGAACAACAACGCAAAAATCACAATTACATCATACAGAATGAAAATAATCCCTATGTGTATGTACATACACACACACACATATATTTTAATACATAACAAAAAATTGTTTTGTTTACATTTTTAACAGAAATTGACTCATGCAATTCCTCTAAAGCAGGGGTGTCAAACTCAATCCCTGGAGGGCCGAAGCCCTGCACAGTTTAGTTCCAACCCTGCTCCAACACACTTACCTGTAGGTTTCAAACAAGCCAGAAGGACTCAATTAGTTTGATCAGGTGTGTTTAATTAGGGTTGGAACTAAACTGTGCAGAGCTGCGGCCCTTTTGGAACTGAGTTTGACAACTGTGCTCTAAAGCCTTTCCTGCAGAAAAAAAAATAGCTTAAACCAGCCTAGGCTGGTTAGCTGGTTTTAGCTGGTTGACCAGCTTGGTTTTAGAGGGGTTTTGGCCATTTCCAGGCTGGTTGGGCTGGAAAATGACCAGCTAAAACCAGCTTGACCAGTCTGGTTAAAGCTGGTCATGCTGGTCATCTCCCAGCTTAACCAGTTGGTCAAAACACCATCTAAAACTAGGCTAGTCAACCAGCTAAAACCAGTCTAGGCTGGTTTAAGCTGTTTTTTTCAGCAGGGTTGTTTTCTTTGGATACTACTTTTAAAGACTTAATATGTTTTATGTTAATTTTTAAACGATGCATCATACTTTGATAGTTCAGCTGCGTGCAATGTCGTTGTTTGCAAAACGCACCCCAAAATAGCACAATTCACTCAAATAACAGGACATTTCTTAATTTTCGCACTGATTTGCACTATAATTTACACTGAATGATGAAATATTATTATGATGGCATCATCAAACCGTTTAAACTACTAAAACTTGTTCATCTGACATAAGTAAAACGCACGAGGTAATAATGCGGATACAAAAATGAAAGCAAACCTCGTGAGCTGAAATGCTGTTTATTAGTCACTTGGCGAAAATTTCAAGGCAAATGTAGTCCACCTGGCTGACAGATGACCAGAATAAAACGAGCTGTTCCTCAAGCAACTACTACCTACCATCAGTGAACACACATTTTTACCAAAATATAGAAAGGTGATTAATAACAAGTATATTTAAATGATGACTACTTTAGGCAAATACAAAAATAAAAAACAATATACCAAAGCTGGTGTGGTATCTAGTTTTGAAAATGTTTGAATTGAATTATGAATCCTCTTACACACCTCGTCTATAAAGTAAATGTAGTGATAGCAGTAAAAACACAAGCTGATCAGGGCGACCGGTATGGAACCGCTCAGTGGAAACAAGGCATTAGTCTTCGAGACTTTACAGTTCTTATATACACATAAACAGCTCATCACAATCGAAAGACAAAGGAAAACAAGAAACCACTTCATGCTTTTATTTTATCATTATACACATTTTAGCAACTTCCCAACTAGGGTTGTAACGGTATGAATTTTTCACGGTATGATAATCGTCTAAAACAATACCACGGTTTGACGGTTTCGCGGTATACGGTATGTTACAAATGTTACAAAATAATAGAACAGTGAAGCAAATTTGACTTTTTCCAAATAATATATTTTTAGTTACTATAAACAACACCACTTACAATGAACAAATAAAAAAAATAAGAGAATAATAAATAATGTGTCAAAGTCCAAATAAACATGGTGCAAATCCTCAGTAAAAAATAGATATAAATATTTACTATACTATAAATAGTTACATAACGAAACTAGATTCAATATGGAACATCCTTAGGTTTTATGTGCCAGCATGGATATGGTTGTCTGTGGATATGGATTTGGATATGGTTGTCTGCAATGCAGACAAACAGCTGCACCTTCATTTGCGTCTTTTGAAAACAGCAAGAGCAGCAGTTCGTCTTTGCTGTGTCACTGTTTTGTCATGTTTCTGTGCTGCTGTGCATGCAAAAGTACTTAGTATGAGAATTATTTCATGAAAAACTTTTTTTTTTTTGCGTTTTATTTAGCCGCGCATAAATGTATGCCTATCTCTCATTCCGTGTTGTTCAAAAAGCTTGGTCCACAAACAAAAGCGAAACCTATGCTTATTGGTTGTGATATAGCGAGTTTGAACCAATCTGGGCATGGAGGAGGGACAATGCATCAATGTATCATGTCTGATTTGTCCGGAGACACAGTGACGAGCGTTTCTTTGTCAAATCAGCATTGTCAAATGTTGATGACGTAACCGCACTGATTCCGGAGCCTCTGAAAGTCCGCGAATGTTATGTGATACAGCACTGGAAAGCTGAGATTCTCTTCTTTATGCCAATCTTTGAATTGTATCAGCGGATCAAAAGTTATTAAACATTTAAGAGCAATACTTATTTTTAGCCGCGGGCGGCTGTCTCGGTCTTTAAGGGTTAAAACCGTTGATATGCAATTGTTCATGGTATGATAATCGTGCACGTTCAAATCGTGGTAAACCGTCATACCGGTATATTGTTACAACCCTATTCCCAACTACCCTAAATAAGGCAACCTGGAAGAGCTTTAGGTGATCCATTTACTGTGAAAGTTTATTGTGTGTGTTCGTAGAGAAGAAGACTGTGTGAAATTCTTCCCACACTCACTGCAGTGATACGGTTTCTCTCCGGTGTGAGTCCTCAGGTGTATTTTCAGGTGTCCTGAACGTCTGAATCTCTTCTCGCAGTGTGAGCACTTGTACGGTTTCTCTCCGGTGTGGATCCTCATGTGATGATCGAGAGTGTTTTTGCGGCTAAAACTGTTTCCACACTGAGTGCAGATGAAGCTTTTTATGGCAGTTCCTTCCACTGAAATACTTTGTTCACCATCTTCACTTTTGACATGATGTTTCTCCTCGTCTTCACTCAGTTCTTCACTCTCCTCCTTCACCGTCACATCTAAAATTAAGCAAATACGTTTATTTTGAGAGAAGAGTTATCATTATTGTTTTATTTTTTAAAGTTTTGCTGCATAAATATGCAACACAAGCTGTATCACCATCTGACTGGCTGTATCACCACCTGGTATGGAAACAGCACCAGCAGTAATCGCAAAGGCCTGCATAATAGGATTGTGCGAACTGCTGGACGCGTAGTAGGAGGTGAGCTTCCCTCCCTCCAGGACATCTACACCAGGCGGTGCATGTGGAAAGCCAAGAGAATCATCAGCGACTTCAGCCACCCAAGCCATAGACTTTTCTCTCTGCTACCCTCAGGCAGACGATTCCGCAGCATCCGGTCACGCACCAGCCGACTGAAGGAAAGCTTCTTCCCTCAGACTATCAGGCTGATGAACATTTAACACACTCCACACAGACTCTTACCCTCACTGCACACCATCAATATGTAGCATGCACTGCACTTTAACCAACCCATACTTGAAACAATACTGCCAACAGCTGCCTATTGTACATATCGCTGTCAGCACTGCCAATTTTACATTGTCCTGTTTTTTGGGAGTATGTTGTTGTATTTTGCTGGAGCCAGCAACTAAGCTTTTCACACATCACACACACAAGTGCTGCTGATGATGTGACAACAAACGTGATTTGATTTGTATATTCGTTAACTCACGGGGCATTAACACGTGCAACCCCACATGCCTACAGGCGTATTTTGCCAAAGAAGCAAAATAAACCAAGTGAAAAGGTTAGCCTATTGCTTTCGACTGACAAGTTGATGATTTTCACACAAGTGGAAAAGCAAAACTTACAAAATAATAATAATGATAAATAAATAAATAAAAGATGTATATGGACCATTTCCACTGAGGGGTACACTACAGTTCGCTACGCTTTTATGGCAGTTTCCACTGGCAAAAGGTGTACCGAACTAAACCGTACCACTTTTTCGGCACCCTTTTGTAACCCTTATCTATGTGTTATTGATGTGTTTTCTATTGCACTATTTTTACAGTATTTGCTATTTTCTTATTAGGACCAGATGTCAGAAGATTTTAATTCGCTCGCAAGAGTGTATAGAAATAACAACCAGTTTTAGATAGTCAAATAAGTCAGACTCAAAGATAAAGTTGAATAACTGAGGTAAGTTGTTTGAGCTTGTTTGAGCAAGTTAGATGAGGAAAACAAAATAAAACAAATAAATAAATGTCAAAACAGTTCAGTTTGATGAATACTAGAATAAAACAATAGAATATATACTTAAATCACCACACTTCAGATGATAAACTCACTTGAGACAATTCAGTTTCACAATTCATATACAATGGGGAAGAAAAATAAAAATACGAAGGAAAAATTTGAATAAAAGTAGTAATTCAGAGTCCAAGTTCAATGTTTCAACACTCAAAAGTTCTTTTAGCTCCAGTTCGATGTGAAAAATCCAAAAAATCAGTCCAGATAGAGAAAAATCCAAAAAATGAATAAAAACAAAAATATGAGCGCAGTGAAAGTGCAAGAATGTTTTGTCCTACCAGTTCAGTAAGCAACGAATTAATTTACTTTCAGGCACGATCTTTCAAAGAGGACGGCTCGCCATGTCCGGACCACCGAGAAAGCATCCACGGCAGGGACAGATCGGGATATTGTAGCAGAAACACGAAAGGGGAAACACACGCACACACAAGAAAAAAAAAAAAACCCAGCCAAGGAAAGATAAAGATAAACAGGGAGAATAAAGATTAAATATAAGTTTTCTGTTGTCTCATTAATGTACTCCTCTCGCACTTCTCTCGTTTCTATCCCTTGTTGTCAGCTTCCTATCCTTAAAATCAGAAACTTTAGGGCTTTTCTCAGTCAATCACCCAAACAATATGATTTTTAGATCATTTGGATTATCTAAACTTCTGTTTCAAAGTGTCTAATGTCGTTCAATCTGCTCGCGCTGATTAATCAAAGTGACTCTCCGTCACCGGCAGCTCTCACACACACGCAAGCGGGCGGAGCTAACCTCCGACCTCCACCAAGTCAAAACTTACTTTATTCTCTATTTATTATTATTTTTTAAACACTATGTATATAATATAAATTAACTTTATCCAATGTTTCTCCGTACAATCATAAAATAAAATGTTATAATTTAAAATAAACTATTTATAATTTGTTTAAGTGACCTAGTCAGTGAGCTGGGTTACACTTTGCAAAGGTTATCAAGGGTACCAAAAGGCAGAGCTAGACATGCAGCTGAATGCTATTGATTTACAGAGATACGTCATTTGCTTGCACAACAAGCCAGAATGAAAACAAAGGAACCGCCATGTTTTAAATACACAGCCGAGACATTACACCGTAATACTATATACATATAACAACAAGCTGTAGTCGACCCGAGCTCAAACAAACCTTGTCATCGTCTTAATGAACAGCCACAAAGCCAAGAAGAACAAAATCAGCCGTGTCCTGTTGCTGTTTTACGAGGCCGTCTAAAAGTGTGAGCAGTTTCACTTTGTCCAGGGAGCTCGCGATCGCATCTATATTTGATATAACGAACTTCTTGAGCTGATGATAATAACGTGTGCCTGATTATTGAAGTGTCTCCGACATCTGATCCTTTCAGAAAAGAAAAGGCCAAGTGCGAGAGTGAAGCGCGAACATAGCAGAAGCCCGACAACACAGAGAAGCACATTGTTTCAGCAACCTGAATCACGAACAAAATGCCTTGTTTATCATTGCCTTCTGGACTAGTATGAACTCTGAATGATGGAATGACTCTCTAACAGAGTTTACATGTGATGGTGAAGATTACAGACACATAAGAGGTTTTCACTGATTGTAGGCTACATTTTGTGTTGTTTTTGAACTCAAATAAGGACTAAATGTCTGCTGTGTGTAGTTTATCTGTAGTTGGTAATATATCGGAGACTCTAAGGGGCTGTATGTGTTCATATGTCCATTTATTTATTTATTTTATATAACTGCAGACGTTACAGTAGGCTATTTCGCACTGTCATTGATCTGCAGTTATAATCAAATTATGTTTATAGAAAAGTTAGTAATGAACATTTTTAAACAAGTGTTCATGTGTATAAAGCATCTGTTTTGTGAGAAGTGCTTCTCATATGATGTAAGCGACCTGTACAGATTTACTGTAGACATTTATTCGAGCTAGAATGACGTTGACTGAAATTTTCTGTCATACACCACGCCCATTAAAAGGGTACCCTTGGTAGTGGAAACGCAAGCCTGATAAAGGTGACCCATACTGTTCCTGTCAGTGGAAACGGGCCATAAGAGTACGTAGCACAACAGTACTAAAGCAGTGTTTCCCAACCCTGTTTCTTAACCCACACCAACACTACACAATTTCGACCTCTCCCTAATCAAACACAACCAATTCAACTCATCAGAACATAAGACTCCAAAACCTGAAGTTAATGTCTCAGATAAGGAAGACATCCAAAATATGTACTGTTTGTGTGCCTCCAGGAATAGAGTTGGGAAACACTGTACTAAAGGGTGGATCTAGACTTGCAGCTGAAAACTTATTGGTGGGCGACGCAGTGGCACAGTAGGTAGTGCTGTCACTTACAACTAGAAGGTCCCTGGGTCGCTGGTTCGCCTATTGGCGTTTCTGTGTGGAGTTTGCATGTTCTCCCTGCGTTCGCATGGGTTTGCTCCGGTTTTCCCCACAGTCCAAAGACATACGGTACAGGTGAATTGGGTAGGCTAAATTGTCCACAGTGTATGAGTGTGTGTGGATGTTTTCCAGAGATGGGTTGCGGCCGGAAGGGCATCTGCTACGTAAAAACGTGCTGGATAAGTTGGCGGTTCCACTGTTGTGATCCTGGATTAATAAAGGGACTAAGCCCAAAAGAAAATGAATGAATGAATGAATGAGTGAATGAACTTATTGGTACGCTTATTAACAAGCGTAATTTGGCGTGTGCAACAAGAGAAGAAAACAACAACACAGGAAGGCCCACCATTTTAAAGACACCGAATTAATCAGTGCACAGCAACGAACCAAAGTCAAGAAGAAGAACAGAATCTCCAGTGTGTCTCCAGTGTTCGTTACAGAGCTTTTCAGGTCATGTCAAAACATAATCTACACCTGCTCTCTGTATTAGTGCATTTAAAATAATGAACTTGAGTTTGCAAAGAATATGTGAATGGCCTGAAAATCTTCTTGGTGCAAGAAACAGGTTGATCAGTACTTTCTGGTCTACACAACTACAAAGAATGACTACCGAACCGTAGGGAACTGAACCTCTTAGTGAAAACTTATCTTTTAAAAATTTGTGTTACTTCCAAGAGAAAGGACAACACGATACTGCATCATACACAGCTTTAAATATGCATTTTGACTCCACAATAATCCTAAATCCTGTGACCTTGAATGGGCACATCATTAGATGATCTACTTACTGTGAATCTGTTGTGTGTGTCTTTGTAGAGAAGAGAAATGGCTGAAATTCTTCCCACAGTCGGTGCAGTGATACGGTTTCTCTCCAGTGTGAATCCTCTCGTGTTTTTTCAGGTTTCCTGAATCGCTGAAACTCTTCTCGCAGTGCGAACACTGGTAAGGTTTCTCTCCGGTGTGGATTCTCTCATGTATTTTCAGTTGTCCTGAATGAATGAATCTCTTCTCGCAGTGCAAACACTTGTGGGGTTTCTCTCCATTGTGGATCATCATGTGACGCTTCAGAGTGACACTGTTCTTGAAACTCCTTCCACACTGAGGGCAGATCAAACCTGTTCCCTCCACTGAAAAATGTGCAGTCTTTGATTGAAATTTGGCATGATGTTCCTCCTCATCTTCACTCTCCTCCAAAATCACTTCTGAAAATTGAGCAAACATGTTAAGAAGCTAGTTTTTAACGATTTAATTAACAGCAGACGGTGCTCTAGCAGGGCAAAACAGTGTACTGTTGTCACGAAACCAAATTTTGGAACCAATCAGAATTGACATTTTAAAAACGTCCATTTTTCACTAACATTTGAGCAGTGTTGAGTCTGAGCCGCCTTTCCACTGCACACGACATTGGGACACGACGGTTGCACAAAAACTTTGCTAACGCTAGATTTCACGCTAATGTTTGGATTTACTAACAATGAAATGAACGTGAGAATGTGCGCTGGTATACGCTACCTTCATGCCTGGCGTACAAGCATTTCTTGTGTGTGTTTGTTTTATTTCCATCTGCGACTCCTAGAGGCAGTTGTGTTAAATTGCACACTACAAAGTATCTTTAAGCTGTGCATTGGCAGCTGTATGTGACGGGATCATCCGCATGTCTAGCAGGTATATAAGGTTTCCATATCATGCAGTTGACCAGCCAATATTAAATCGCAATTTGCAGCGATCGCCGGTTTTCCAATGTAATCAGAGCGATCGACTGCACACACATTGCTATAAAGGCGCCATCTGAAGACGAATTTGCATATGTAAATCAGAAACATTTCCATTCAATAAATGTGCAAATAATATAATGCTCAAACGCGCTTAACATAATACACACACTGATTAATGATTCCTACTTGTCTTCCTCGTGATGAAGAGTAGGCAAAATCTGATATGTAGCAGGGGAAAAAGAAGAATTTTGAAGAACTGGATTCGAACCAGGTTCATGATTGATCGTGTCAAAGCATGTTGCCATGCGCTTTACAAGCAACGCCACTCACACTGCTGTTTGCCACTCTGTTATGATTTATTATGTTTTCTTTCTGTCTTTTTTTTTCACCGTCCTCTCCGTTTGCTCAACCCGTAGGTTTCTTATTGGTCTATTATTCTGTCCACCATCATTATGACGCTCTCCGGTTCCACCAATCCCAGGACGAGCCGTAAGGATTTAAAGCCCTGTCAGACCAGTGTGTGTGGTGCGCTCTGCCTTGGCGTACCATTTGTGCTCCACGCAGATTGTTTGTGCAAATGCTTCGTCTATTTAGTGATTTATCTCAGTTACTGTGGTAATTCGAGTTTGCTTGTTGAACTTCGTTGGCTTTAGGTAACATATGATGGTTGTTGTGTGATTCTAAACTAAGCTTTGACGGACTTATCCGGTTTGTTTGTTTTAGTATAGTTTGATGTTTTGTTAGATTAGTTTGCCACCCGTCAATTTTGAGTTTTGTAGTTTAATTAATTTAGTTCGGGTGTCGTATACACTGAAGATCTCGGTTTTCATTTTGTGTTTTTTTTTGACGCCTAGTTTAGATTTTAGATTTAAGGATTGTTTTGTTTTGTTAATTTCTTTGATTTGGCTTACACTCATTGTTTTTGTTTAAAGATAATAATTATAAATGTTTGTCATGCATCCAGCTCTATGAGCTCATAAACTTCTCCAGAAACTGAACCTGGCTGGCTTCTAATTGAGCCAAGCCCAGTTTGATGAACTTTTTGTCGGTGTTGGCTGGATTATTTACCCCGGGACACTTACAACAGGCGCTACGTCATAATCACGCCCCCACAAGAGCAAGCTCCTGATTGGTTAACGCGGCGCGAATGTCCGCTGAAGTTCAGATTTTCGAACTCGAGCGATTTGCGCAAAACGCGCGTCCAACGAGCAAAACGCTCAATTCGCACCACGCCATTCACACCGTGTCATTCGCGCATTCCGCGTCATGGCCGCATCATTCGCGCCGCAGGATCTCTTTTTGCGCGCTTGCATTGACTTAACATGTAAATCACTCGTGCTTGACGCACGTTTCGAGTGCGGTGTTAACGCAGCAAAAGTGTGTAGTTTTCGCAAACAGGGTTGCGACAGGGGCAGGGCGGAGGATCGGCGATGCCGGCTCAGCATCGTGTTGTCTATTGGCCATTGGCAATGGAGGATGGCATTGTCTATCGGCCCAACGCTATTTTATATATAAACTCTTTTTGATAAATTTTAAAGTACGTTGCCTGTATATATGACTTAACTGTTTATCTTTAAAATCTTAACATTAACTTGTAATTTAGATTTATAAATTGGATTTACATATTTAAATTAGATCTGCTTACAGTGAGTTAGAGTAAACTATGTGTGTCAGAAAAGCAAGTGAGTAAACTAAATCTATCAACATTGCGCGATAACAATAAAACAACGGGATACTCCCCCATCAACCGTTACAAACATGGGGATGAAATTAGCTTCAAATGACAGAATACATAACAAACTTTAGAAAATTTAAAAATAAAGGGTTTAGCCTATTAAAATCAATTTACTAATCACATTGGTGTTATCGAACACATCAAAGGGTTAAAAGTGATCATTTTTTTAACTTTATTCAGCGATTCCTCCGCATACCACTAGAAGGAAGCCTGCGTATTACAGTTTGAGAACTACTACTCTGGTGTATGTGCATCCAGGCCCGTGCAAAGACCATCCAAAGGGCATGTGCAGAATAAATTTTTTGAATAGTGGGGGGGCACTCTGATGACATTCACAGCTGATCAGTCATGAATAATGAATAAACACAAACCTATTTGTGCATCAGTCTCTTCCTGTTTAATACTGCAGGGTTCTGGATCACTCATCTTCTCACTGTCCTTAAACAAAAAAAAGTAAACATTTTTTTTACTTTCTTTAAATGTCAAAAATTTAAGAAAACAAAATCAACAAGGTAGTTAATGTGGAACTTGGTAAATGTGAAGACATCAGTATGATGAATCAGGCAAAAAAACAAAAACTACTGATATGAAATAAAGAGGATTTCAGCAGCTCTGATAACAGTGATGAGCCTCAGACTATAAACACTCATTAAACAGCAGCAGATCAGCTCATTTTATACAAGTGTTTGAAATAACACTAATTACTCTAGTTTACCTAATTAAGTATAATTGATGCATTAAAATTAAATAATTTAAAAGATTAATTAGATTAAAGCAAGAAGGTCACTGGTTCGAGCCCCAGCTAGGTCAGCTGGCGTTTCTGTGTGGAGTTTGCATGTTCTCACTGTTCGCATGGGCTTCCTCCGGGTGCTCCAGTTTCCCCCACAATTCCAAAGACATGTGATACAGGTGAATTGGGTAAGATAAAATGTCAATAGTGCATGTGTGTGAATGAGAGTGTAAGGGTGTTTCCCAGTCATGGGTTGCAGCTGGAAGGGCATCCTCTGCGTAAAAAATATTCTGGATAAGTTGGCGGTTCATTCAACTGTGGCGACCGCTGATTAATAAAGGGACCAAGCCGAAAGAAAATGAATGATTATAAGCAGTAGCAACACCCATGTGCTATGTAACTGGGAAATCCTGTATACTTTACAAAAAATAAACAGCACCACAAAGAATTAGTGTATGCAACTTCATCTACCACAGAATATTCCCATTATATCTCTTCACAGATCATAGTTTGCCATGTTACTCATACAATCGTCGAAATATTCATACACGATGTAGAAAAACACACTGAGCTCATATTGTCCTGTCAGACATCCTCTCTGCCTGCTGTGTTGTTTTGTTCAGCAGACACACAGATAGAGGTGAACTCAATGCAGAAACTAGTCGCAGATTGTCGCTTTAATAAACTGTAAAGTGTGTTTTATTGTTGTGTAAACACGAGAAAAAGCGTCAACGACTCACCTCAGCCCTGAAGACTCGACGCTGAATGAACGCGTCGGTGCTGACGTCATCACGGCAAGGCGGGAACAACGGAGGATTGTAAACAAACGCGCTAAATTAACCATTGAAAAGTCAAAACATTTGCTAATGAGGAAAAAAAACTTAATAATGAGTGAGGTGAAATACTGTTTATTTGGCACTTTAAAATAAAACAACGTGATCCTTCATGCTGACTAACATGTATAAAATACAATGATCTTTACCTGAAGTAGCAACTAACTTTCAATAAACAAAGTTTTTAATAAAATATTAAAAGAAGATTAATAAAAAGCTACATTTACCCAAATGACGTCACACGGGTCTCCGCCCTGCTGAAAAATCCAGCTTAAACCAGCCTAAGCTGGTTGGCTGGTTTTAGCTGGTCGACCAGCTTAGGCTGGTTTAAGCTGGATTTTTCAGCAGGGCGGTTGCAATAGTAAATATGTCGTGTAGTGCGGTTAGATGCCAAATTCGTCTAAAAATAGAAAACATAACTTTTACCGTACACCACACTGCTTTTAATGCTAACTGCAGACGTCTTTGGCTAAAAGAGAACTGAATGAAGTCTGACGACCTAATTAGAAATGCTGGACTCTGCAGTTCTCTCTTTATATCAGGCAAGTTGACGCTATGCTGAATAATACACATTACTTGTTTTTGATTGCAGCAATGATTTCAGCAAAACAGTTACATATGGTGAATAAACAGCTGACACTGAATGCTGAGAATGAAACGTGAAAGTGTAAGATATTAAGGTAAACCTGGTTTTATAGTCACATTCATTCAGTGCCAACTTGTGACACATTCCCTATATTGTTTACCTCGGCACTTTGAATATTTGGTCTGAAATAACCTGCAAGTGTGACTTGAAAACAACATTAACACAGTTTATTTGACTGTGAATGTGTTTACTTTGATAGTCATTGACTGATCATATGATTTCACGATTTAAAGTTTGCAAATAATACTTTTATGAAATTATATTATTAAGGAGAAAGAATCTGCGAATATAAATCCAACTTAACCGCTATGTGTAGGTTCACATACCCTGCCGTACAGATGCAGTTCGCTGTCAGAATGCAGTCGTTTTGCTTGTTGATGATTACAGGCCTTGTACAGTTCCGTCTTCTTTCTTTGTCTTTGGCTAGGCAGAACCTCGGTTTTTAGTGTTGAATCTGGTCATCATGGAGCAATATTTCTTGCACATGACCCCACAGAACAACATTGTTGGCATCCAAAGACTTGTAGGCCTTAAACTTCTCTCTTGTTAAATCACTTGCAGCTTCCGTGAGATTGTTTATTTGGGGCTGGATGCTCGGTCATTTCGTCTTATCCAATATTCATTAGGAGCGTGCCATCACAAATGGACCTGTCAGATGAACGCCGCTCACTTTACACATTAATTTAGCAGAATCCCTGTGCTTATCACTGTTTGACGAGCTGTTATAATACGCTGAAAGCATTATGTAAATAGTAAATATGCAATCAATATAACTTATTTTTTATACAACAACAAACTCTGTACCGCATCGGATGTCATTCCCTCGCTGTAAATGCTAGCGCTCCTGTTTTTTTTTGCTGCCACCTCTCTGCGCGCGCATCCTGAATGCTTACAAAGATGGTAATTCGTCTACATCATCGTTGGTGTACACAGTTTTAGAAATCACAAAGAACAAGTTGGGCGATGCAGTGACGCAGTAGGTAGTGCTGTTGCCTCACAGCAAGAACGTCGCTGGTTCGATCCTCGGCTCAGTTGGCGTTTCTGTGTGGAGTTTGCATGTTCTCCCTGCCTTCGCGTGGGATTCCTCCTGGTGCTCCGGTTTCCCCCACAGTCCAAAGACATGCGGTACAGGTGAATTGGGTAGGCTAAATTGTCCGTAGTGTACGAGTGTGTGTGTGGATGTTTCTCAGAGATGGGTTGCGGCTGGAAGGGCATCCGCTACGTAAAAACTTGCTGGATGAGTTGGCGGTTCATTCCGCTGTGGCGACCCCGGATCAATAAAGGGACTAAGCCGACAAGAAAATAAATGAATGACAAAGAACAAGTTCAATAAATCTTAGGAAATCTTTCCTGAACAGACACAAACTGTGGCCGCATGCTAAAAAAACCTCTAATGAATAAAAATTGAACAATTACAGGTGATGAATATGCATAAGAAAATTTACCATGATATAAAATTATAAGCTTTGCATTTTGATATTTTGCATAATTATATAAATTATATCATAAAGCTAAATGACAGATGTCTACAATAATAAAAGCTTCAGATCATGTTGTTTGGTGAGGAACTCCATCTATAAGCTGATCTGAATCCTACAATGAAGCTGCTGTCAAAACTTTAGATGACGTTTCTTCATCCTTAAGCTACACAAACTGATTGTTTTCTGCCTGTCTGAGATTAGACGACTGGCTAAAACTCTTCCCACTGGGCCTCATTCATGAAACAGCAGCAGAACAAGCACAGACTGAACAGATGAAGACTGCTGTGTTACTAATGAGCTGAAATGTTGTTTTAGGCTGCTTTCACACCTGTGAATCGATTCAGTTGTTCCAAAACAGAGATTACAATTGTTACATTGTTGCTCTTTGCTCTTGGAGCGGTTCGCTTTCACACTGCAAAGTTTCTAATCGGACCAAAAGAGCTAAAACAAGTCACGTGCGAGTAAACTCTCCTCACATTGGTCAGAGTGTCAGGGTTTATTTTGCAGCGTCCCGCTAAGCTGTCAGGAGAGGTGGTGGTTTAGTGGTGATTGACAGGGTGCGCATGACTTGTCTGTGGAGAGACGCGATGGGGAGGGGTGAGAAGGGTGCGCGACGATGCCTATTTGAGGACCGGGAGGGAGACGCGAGATTACCGGGAGATCATCACTCGTTTGCGGGCATCCGGAGACTCGCGAAACTTCCCGCCCTACTCATAATTCTCTCTTCATATAGCCGTAAGCCTATTACATATCCATAAAACACTGTGATATAACTGCGCTCGGATCAGATCGCTTTCTCACTGCAATCGAACCGCTCCAGAGTTCGTTTTAATCGAGCCGAGACCACCTCACTCAAGCGATCTCGGAGCGATTACTTTTACGCGATTACCCTGTTCACATATGCCAAACGAACCGCGCTAACTGGGCAAACGAGACACGTTCCGAAACAAAAGTGTAGGTGTGAAAGCACCCTTAGTCTGTGTCCATTGTAAAAGCCATTCATCCCAGATATTTGCATCTTCGGATATAAACCTAGCTGGTTTTCTCTCCAGTGTGGATCTTCATGTGTGTATTAAGGGATGATGATTGTGTGAAACTCTTCCCACACTGAGTACATGTGTACGGTTTCTCTCCCGTGTGAGTCCTCTCATGTTTCTTCCGGCTTTCTGACCAATGAAATCTCTTGTCGCAGTGTGAACACTTGTACGGTTTCTCTCCAGTGTGAATCCTCTCGTGCCTTTTCAGGCATTCAGGCAACCCAAATCTCTTGTCGCAGTGTGAACACTGGTACGGTTTCTCTCTAGTGTGAATTACCAGGTGCTGTTTCAAGCTTCCAGCTCTATTGAAAGTCTTCCCACACTCAAAGCACGCAAACTCTCTTATACCAGAGTGGATCTTCTTGTGGTCTTTTAAATGCGAGTGTGTTGTGAAACTCTTTCCACACTCAGAACATGAATACGGCTTCTCCTTTGTATGAACTCTAAGATGGATCTTCAAATCTGAACGGCTAAAAAATGACTTCCCACAGTGATCACATTTGTGTGGTCTCTCTCCAGTGCGAGTCCTCTGATGTATCCATGAACTTGATTGTTCAGTAAAACTCTTTCCACACAAAGAGGATGAGGGTTGACCATTGACACTTTCCTCCTGCTTCACCATCAGGTCTGAAAATTAAGTACAGAAAAGAGAAATGTGAAATAGGGATGCAAATGATTAATCAGTGACTGATTAATTGTTAATGAGCATTTTAATCAATGGTCAATTATATTATTTAATGATGTAATTCTCACTTTTCATGTTTCTTGACATAACGTGTTGGATCCTTTATTGTTGATCAAAATCAAATCAGGAATCGCACCACTACCTCTATTCTTTTGTTTATTTCTACATTTGAAAGGAGGAACTTGAGTTTTCTTTTTTTTTCATAATAATTTTTTTCGGGGTTTTCACCTTTATTTTGACAGGACAGTAGAGAGAATTGACAGGAAAGCATGGGGAGCAGAGAGAGGAAGGATTGGCATAGGACCGCGAGGTGGAATCGAACCCAGGTCGCCGCGAGCACCAGGGTGGATATATCATATATCTGAATATATAAACATCAGTTTTTGTGACTTTACGAACTTATAGGGTGCTTTCACACCTGCCTTAGGGCCTACTCACACTACGCCATCCGTACCGTGCCCAGGCCCGTTTCCCGGATCATTTGAGAAGTGTGAGTGCGCTGAATCGGGCTCAAGCACGGTTCACTTGGCCGGCCCTGGCCTGGTTGGAAGAGGTGTGTCTGAGCGCGGTTCACTTGGGCTTTTGTAGTGTGAGTTAGAGGTCTGCATTCCCGCGGCTGTCCCGCGGGCGCCACGGGACCCGACCAGATTTCTACGGCGCGGGTATAAATTTTCGAATAAATCACGGGAGCGGTCGGTAACGGGTTTAATTTGGGACGGGAGCGGGCTGTCTAGCAATATCGCTCCCGACTCCCGAGTGAGCACGCGTATGCATGTGTGTAAATGAAATAGCGCGATGCTGTGTTTAGCTTGTTTGTTGCAGTGTGTGTGTGTATGTATGCGAATGAGAGAGGTGGGGGGGGGTGTGTGTGTGTGTGTGTGCGAATGAGAGATAGAGCTTTGCCTGTGTTTGTGCTTGGTGCTTATGAGTGTGTTAGAGCGCGTGCGCGCGAATGAGAGAGAAAGCTTTGTCTGTGTGTGTGTGTGCTTGGTGCTGTGTGTGTGTGTGTGTTTATACAGACAGCTTGTTATAGGCTGTCTTGACTGTATAACTGGGTGATTTTCGGTTTTGTTCTCCCCCGCTCTTTAGCGGGATCGGGCGCGGCGGAT